TTTTGAGGGATAACAGCTTCCAGCAGAAGCTAACCACACATGAACTACCTTCCCTTTGCTGGGCAAGTCACAGAAAACATTTTGCCGTGGAATTCCTCTGCTTTCTGAGGCTTTATTAATTAATTCTAGAGAGGGTGCAGCAGAGAGCCATGAAGATGATGAAGGGACTGAAGCATTTGTCATATGAGGAAGGACTAAATGAGTTGGGCCTGTTTAGGCTGGAGAAAAAAAGGCTGAGAGGAGATTTGATCAACATGTTCAAGTACCCTGAGGGGTGATTGTAGGGAGAATGGGGCCAGGATCTTCGTGGTGGCCCACCGGATGAGGGGTAACAGGGGTAAGTTGAAACACAGGAAGTTCCACCTCCATATGAAGATTAACTTTCCTGTGAGGGTGACAGAGCGCTGGAACAGGCTGCCAAGAGAGGTTGTGGAGTCTCCTCTGGAGATCTTCCAAATCCACCTGGATACCACCCTGTGCCATGTGTTCTAGGTGTCCCCACTGGAGCAGGGGGGTTGGACTAGATGATCTCTAGAGGTCCCTTCCAACCTTAAGCATTCTATGATTCTGTGATTCCTGGACCATATGCCAGTCTGTAAAAAGATCACATTTTCTTCTTGTCCTTCTCCAGGTTCAAACATCTGTTCTTCAGAATGTTTTCACTATGCTATATCACCACAGTTCATCTTTGTCAATATACTATTTTGTGCAGTTTCAGTTTAGCCTTTGGTTATAGATTAAAAGCTGTACTTTCACCTTACTCTCACACTTTCCAAGATTTCAGCAACATGCTGCCTCTTCAACATTTCAGTGCAATAGATATATATTGTTCATTATGATTCAAAGACAGGAACAGGTTATTAAGAGGCTGGCATACAAGGGCAGCAGTACATTTCACCCAATCTATAAGGCAGAGGATAACAAAGTCACTACATTTATATAAGCAGAAACCAACCTTACTGCCAATGATGACAGCTATGCTGATTTATTTAAAGCATCCTAAAAACATTATTATCCCTGTTTCTTGAGGTTGGGCTTATAGTTAAAGCTGCAAGGACATAAAATTTCATTTCTAATTGAATTTCAAAGGGATTTGAGTAACCAACTTTTTTTCTTCCTTCCTCCACACAAACCAATAGGAATAAATTCAGAAACTGTGCACATGTATGCAGAGAATAAACTTTTCTAGATTAAAAACAGGGGGGAAAAATTCACCTGACTTATTCCTCTGGCCTAACATGCAAAGTAAACTCAGAATCTGTGAGTTCAATACAACTCAAGACTGGTAGATTTCATTTTTTCCCCATGAATGTTTCTAAGGTGCTTCCTCAAGTAGCCATTGCCTGACTACCTGTTAGAGAAGGGGAGAGCGGAGCTTGATGGGCTTTGGAGAAGGTTTCAGTCTCCTCCCAGCAGGCTGGATGTCTGTCACGGACACCTTTGGGACACTGTACAGCTACTCATGATTCTAATTTCCATTTGAGATCTCTTTTTTTTTTCATCTGTTTGTTTAAACTGAAGACAAGACAAAAAAAACATGATATTCACTGCAGGGATAATATATTTATCACAAGTTCATGAGGGCTTTAACTTCTGGGATATGTTCTCTTCTCAGGAGAACTCATTCTGAAGTTTAAAAGAGAATGTGGGGAATATGTATTGGAAATAGTGGGAATTAGAAAACCTCAAATGTCTTGTTATGAAAAGCCTGGTAAGTTCTTGCTTGTTCCCCTACCATCTCTGCATATCTGCAACTTTTCAAGCTTCTTGCTTTGTCAGGAGCTGTTGAGCCTTCATCAGGAAGGCAGACCTTAACGGTGCCCTTATGGGTATGCCTCTGGGGTTTATCTCTTCTTGGTGTGTAAGAAATATAGCTCTGGATAAATAAGCTCTGAGAGGGGAAAAATACAGCTCGCTAATTAGGCATGGTCCCTAGACACAGAGCTGGGCTAGTTTTCCTCTGCATCACAGCCCAGGACCAGCTTGTTAGGAGAGTGGAGGAAATTTTGCACAATGCTCCCTGTGCAACGGTGCATGCCCCTGTCCTTCCTGGAATGAGAAAAGAGGAAAGGCAGAAGGGAAGGAAGAAGATACAGAACTTCTTTATGTATCTGGCCACATCAACATCTCACATCCCTATGATAACGATCGGCAGCATTCAAGCAGAAAACAGATTTGACAAGATAAACTGTTCTTATCCTTAAAATAGTTGCGTTTCACACAGTTGCATAATGAGGAGCCAAAGCACAGCTTTTTAAATACCAGTACACTGTCTTCTGGTCTTAATTCACAAATCTGTTGTCAGTTTTACCTATGTGGCTGAGTTTGACATCACTTTTTCTAGTCATAAACACAAGCTCCGAGGTCTGATTTTGCATTTCTCACCCAAACAAACCCCCCACTGAGTGTATAATTAGATTTAACCATATTAAACACTACATTTATAGGTTCTTTGAAAGAAGAGCCTTGCATGGTAGAGTTTGGTTCTTTTCCTGAGGGCACCAGCTCCCCTTCAGTTCTTGTTTTCCTAAACCTTGGTCCTGAGGTCCTAGCTCAATATTTTCACCCTCTAGAAAATGTTGGTGAATTTTCCTTGCCATTATATTTAAATTGGTGCCTGATTTGCAGCCTTTCAAACCCATACCATAGAGCAGACAGATGGAAATGAACTGTGAGATAGTCTAGCCCACAGCTATCGGAAAGCATCCTTATCCTGTCAAACACATTTTAGTGCCTTTTTTATAGTTTCAATGGGATAGTTTAAAGTGAAATAATAAATTATAGTTCAAGACGATTAAGTAGAGGAAATTTCCACTTCTAAGCAGTTTACTTAACCTACTTGTTTGGCGTTTTTCTTCTTTGATTTTACCCCTCCTCCTATTCCAATTTCCTAACTTTTACTTCTGTGCAGACTTCCATCTGCCAGGCTGACGTTATTATCCTTCTCTAATTATTGTTTAATAGCCACTTTACACATATTTAGGCTTTTAGTCCTTCTGTCATTCATCAAGGATAAAATATTTCAAGACTCAAATCTATTTCTAGACCACCACTTTAAACCTGTTAGGAATACTGTTACTTAGCTAATTACACCACGCTCTGTATCGCCTACCTACATCTACACAAGCATTTTAACTAAATGCGGCAGCCAAACAGTGCGTAAGAGGGATAAGATGGGCAGGGATGCATCAGCCACAAAATGATGGGGTATTTGGTAATTAAGTTTCATTGCGCATCACTGGCTCTTGGAGATTTAGGTGCTCTGCTACCAGGGAAAGGGGAATAGAACCATGGGGAGATCAGAATAGGGAGCACGCAAGAGCCCAAGAGCAAACACTATAGCACAGGACTAAAACACAGGAGTTCTGAGAAAGTAGCCAGGCTGTAATTAGGGAAATGTACCGTAATTAGCATGCTGAGGAACGTCCTAAGTCACCTTCCTTCCTGCACCACTTCCCAGGCTACCCGGAGCACTGAGAGCAGGTCCCAAACTGCGGGAATGCTTAGCTCTAACCTCCAGGTTCCCTACCCATCACCTACAGCATGATCCAAACTAACCCACACGCCATGGAGGGGGTGTCCTGTACTGGCAGCTCTCAGAAAAACAACCCACAACCCCGCCAGCCCTGCTGCACATCCTCGTACAGCCCCGCGACATCAGCTGTGGGATGCGAAGCACGAGCAGACCTCTGAATCTCCCCGAGTCTCTCACCGTACCAGTGGAAAATAACCTCTAGCCAATAAATCACAGGATTTTATCCTTCACATTTGTTGTCTTTGGTGGTGTTAGCCCTAACTACTTTCTGCATATGGCCCCTTCCCTGTCAGATCAGCGTGCTCTCTGCAGCACTCTGTGCATGGACACCTCCTCTGCTTGGACAGAAAGCAGGGTCCATCAACAAACTTCTAGCACTGTGGCCCCTCCGTCTGTCAGGCTGCACCTTAACTCACAAAAACCCCTCAGCCAAGAAGGTTTTGCTGAGAGGATCACTCCACCTTCAGAGGAGCACGAGGGAGGAGGTAACATTTGATGTCCATAACAGCCTACATGTGGACATCATTAAGAAGTCCAGTATTGCCACAACTATACTATTTATGTGGTTATATAATGTTGTTCAATGTGTTTACCATTATTCACCTTTCCATGTCCATAACAGCCTACATGTGGACATCGTTGAGAAGTCCAGTATTGCCACAACTACTACTATTTATATGGTTATATGTTGTTCAGTGTGTTTACCGTTATTCACCTTTCCGTTAATCTCTCATGCAAGGCTGTTAAAGCACAAGCATGTAAACTGCTCCAGCATTTAAAGTTAATCTCTCATGCAAGGCTGTTAAAGCATGTAAACTGCTCCAGCAATTAAAGCCTCGTTAAGCACCAAAGGAACCATAATTGCATGAAGATGCTGGCACCAACTTCCTTGTCGGAAGAGGAAGTGGGTGTAGTATGGAGAGGGCAAAAACAAAAAATAAAAATAAAAGAAAATCATGAAAAGAGATTTACTTCCTTGTCGGAAGAGGAAGTGGGTGTGGTATGGAGAGGGCAAAAACAAAAAAATAAAAATAAAATCATGAAAAGAGATATTTAGGCAGGAAGAGCTGTTTATGAAGAATGACCTGCGAAAGAGCAAAAAAGAAAAAATCCCTGCCAAAGGCTCTGTTCAGACAAAGACCCTAATTCCCTGCTCTTGCCTGAGAGGCCCCCATTGGGTTTTCACAGCTGGGCAGTCACAGCCTAATCACGATTCATGAGCCAGGGCTCCTGCTCTGCTCACCCTGCTAATGACGTCCCCTAATTAGCCGGCAGCAAGAAGTGACCCTGCCCTCCCCAGCCTTGAAGGGTGAAGGAGAAGGATGGCCCGCATGAACACAGTAATGCAACGTCCTCCATAGCATCTTCCAGGCAAGCCCCTGGAATCAGGTTGGCATCTTAAGATGTGTTTTCTGTGGACCAGAATGAACCTTCTGTCTGGGCTTGGAAGGAAAGCCTTCTTGGAAGGACATGGAGATGATGGAGGAGAGCAGATCTGCGATTGCCGGTGTGGAGAAGAGTCCAAGGCATACAGCAGAGGAAGCTCTTGTGAATGCCTTCCTCCACAATCCACATTTCCTAAGTGAATCCCATCAGATGTGTAAAGTATGGCATTACATACCAATCGGGAGCCTCTCAATCTGTGATATCCTATCATCTGGGATGGGAGGAATGTTTAAGGAGCCATGCCAGCTGTGCTGCTGACCCAGGATCAAGTGCATGCATGACATCTGTGATTTTTTTCTATACCATCTAGCACAAAACCGGAGACTGATGGCTAACAAATTATAGCTATTGCTTTTTGCATAGCTATTGTTTTTTTTAGAGGAAAAAATCAAGGCAAAATCTCTACTGACCCCTTTCAGAGGTTACAATACGGACAGCGTTATACAAGAACACACCGTCCTTACATATGTTTTGCCTCACCTCTGAATTTCCCTTTTTATTTTGCTTGGGGCTTAAATCAAGCAGGGAGGCTGAGCTAGTCGGCTGATAAGGGCCCAGCCAGCCAGACCTCTAAACCTGCTCTCCAGCACAGCTCATCAGGTGGCTACGCTGTGCAAGAACCGCAACCTGCCCTTAGTCACTGCCTATTTATCTAGTAAGTGATTTGCAAAAGCCATAAGAAAACTAATACTAAAATTACTCTCATAAAGTTGCTATAACGTTAATTTATTTGAGGACTGTGACATGTAGTAAAGTGCAGCTACACGCTGAATACCTGGTCACTGCCCATCACAGTGACAGGCACCTCGGCTGCGAGTGAGAACATATTGTAATCGCCTATCGAGGCAGCGTCGCAAGCATCAGGATGCCACACAGTGATTAATGTCTAGGGCTTTTTTTGGCTCCATTTGATAAGGAAGTCGCCCAGCCTCCAGCTGTTAACATTTCTGTACCACTGCCTTAGAATATTAACTATTTATTAGGCAGCTTAAATAACATGCGCTACACAAATAAATTCAGAGGATAGTTATTGCTTAGAAACATGACTTTAAACCATGACCTCCAGAGATGCTAATAGCTATTCTTGGTGCTTTAAAAGCTACTGTTGTCTCTTACATCATTGTATTCTGTTATCCATTAGATTGCTTTGCTAATAGCTTAATTATATAAAGTCTAGATTGTTTTACTAATAGGGTGTTTACAGAAAAGGATTCCATTTGCAGAGGACAAATGGCTTAATTAGACTGAAGTGCAACCACTTCTTCCACCATGTGAATAAATCCTAGTGAAACTGGAAAAAAAAATTAACCTCGGAACTTTGGACAGACAGTTCTCTACGAAAGAGAAATGGTCACCTGAAAGTAACAAAACAGTAGCTTTTCTTCTTTCCAGGTCATGAGTTAAAACCCAGCTATTTTTAGGAAATCTTTTATATACAACACATCCATTTTTAACAAAACTACAGCTTTTTGGGCTGATGCTCATATAAAAAGGGAGCATAGCAGAAAAAGATAGAAGAAATGCCTTTGGCCAAGCACACTCTGAGATGCAAAATACAAGCAGCGATGCGCGCCCTGCAGCAGGCTGCTCCAGGGGATTAGCGAGGAGGAAAGAAAAGCAAATCACTTCTAAGCCGCTGGTTCGAATACAGCCCAACCGGCAGCGACAAAGAGCCATTACCAACCACTAGTCTCTGCATGCAGACTTTATCACGGTAGTTTAATTTTCAATGGACAATTATCAACATTGCTAAGAAAAACTTTGCCACTGCTGTTGGCTGCTAGAGCGGTGCGGTAAATGGGAGAGGGGATATTCAAAGGAGACTAATAACTCTCCTCTAAAGGTGACTCTTCCATGACTAAAACTCTTTGAGGGAACTTGCATCACCACAGCCTATCTTGGAGCTGTTATATTTTTTATTAATATAAGACAGCTCTGCAGAGTCATTAAACCAGCACCGCTCTAATTATGCACCAGTGATTAAGCAGATGTGACATTGAGCGGGGAGAACGTCTGATTAACGATCCAGGTGCCTAACTTTGGATGAAGCACATTTGGCAGCGCGGATTTGGGGACAAAGGCACTTAGAAGAATGGGACATCTTCTACTTTCAGCCAAAGAGCCTGAGTCTAGAATGCTAGGCTCTCCTGATAGGATTTGCGGCAGACTCGGGCACAGCAACCTTTTCCATCTCTGCCAAACACATGCCACAGTCTTCCTGAGACTTTTGCTCTGTTTGCAGCTTTTTCATCTCATTCCATGTAAGCAGCTGTGCCTTATGGATGAATTGGTTACTTCTAAAGAAAGCCCAGAGAAAAGCAATTTTCCTTGCAGAGGGACAAATTCCATCATTGCTCTATCCTCCCCCGGCATAACTGCTTTAGCCTATGGTCTGAAAAGCTTGTCCTGCTGCACTGCCCTCGACACCTCCTGCACGAGCCTAACACTTATAGCCAAAAGGAGATGCATTCATCCAAGAGGAAGCCTGAGTCTTGCCATACAAGCCAAGTTTTACGGACAGAAACGTCCAAATAGCTGCTCGCAATCAAGCTGTACACCAAAGGTGACCCGTGGGTCTGACACCATTACTCCTCTGCTGAGCCACTCACACACACACTCGCACAGAAAGATAGGTGGGAATATGCAATAGCCAGAGGTCTGTATGGGGTACTTAAGAGAAAAAACTGATAAGCAGCATTTATGCTAGAAAACTCTGATAAATGAGACTTACGGGGCAGGATATAAGAAGATTCACAGAGAATAACAGCACTAAGCAAAAAATGAGACTTACGGGGCAGGATATAAGATTAACAGAGAATAACAGCACTAAGCAAAGCAAGCAAAAATGTAGACCAAGTTTCAAACATTTCTGAATGAGCATTTCTGAAGAACAGGTAAGCAGGAAACTAGTAGGACTAAAGGATATATTTTGTCTTTATAAATTTGTTTATTTTTCTAAACACAAATCTTAATACAATTTTAAAACACTCTTGACCCCGTTTCCTCATATTCTCCTTTTTGAGAGATTTTGATTAAAATAGGAAAAAATTCTCAACATTTAAAATAGTATTCCCCCCATTTAATGAAACCTCTTATTATAACAGACATCAGCTAGATTCACTAGCGCGTATGCCAGGAGTGAGCCTTCAAATGGCCTGAACAAAGCATGGACTGCTGCCAACAATATATCCTCCAACATCTTGGTTATTTACAGATAGGTTGAATGAAATGACAAATAACTTCGGTTGGAAATATTGCACTGACAGAAGAATGGATTATACTTTGCATTTATATATAATCTAGGTTATAAACGTATTTTCTGCATTATATTTCATCTCTACTGATACAGGTAAACATGTTGGCAGACTTCCACTGAGAAGTGACATACTTTAAATAAGAAAATAATATATATTACTTACAAAAGTTGTATTTTCCAATAATAATGTGGTTGTATTTGTTTCTACATTCAGCTCAATAACATGTCCATTCCTATTTTTATACACCACTTCTGTATCTGCAACAACAAAGGCATTGACAGTTAGGAAATACATTCAGTATTTAAACAACATCTGTAGAAAAAAAAAAAAAACAAACACTAAAATATCTTACTAAAATATCCAGTTTTGTTGATTTATTTCCTGAGCTTCAAGAATACCAGTTTATTCCATATAGAATGTTCACCTCAAAACCAGGATTGCATTTAAATGGGAACAACTTCTGTGGCAAGAGGGTACCCAGTAGCGTTGCAGTAAACAACAGGACATCTGGTGCATCAGAACTCTCTCCTGGAGCATCTTCCTTTTGCATCAAGACCTTGAGGTCCAAGTACACCTACTACAAGAAAGCGCTGTCCACTGAGCAGAAGGGTTTTGCCAGGCACTCATCTTCACACACCTTCTTAGCAACTCTTCTAACGAGACATCAGCACCAGTCCCTAGCTCTGCTAACTGTATGACCAGAGGTAGGTACCGACTATATCTTAAGAGAGCCTGTGCACTGTGTGGTTAGTGCTGGACCGCAGTATGCCCAATAGTCAGATAATCTGCTTTATGTTAATAGAGGATTAAAGCTCCATAGATCTATCTGGGAAACGTTTAAAACACTGCAGGGTGAATTCTGACACTTTTTTTTTCCTTACCTGAATCATGTTTCCATAACACACACACACACAAAAAAAAAGGAAATGAAGAAAAATACAAATTACAAAATTGATTGTGGTTGCCAAGAAAACAAGAAAAGGGCTTTGTATCTGTTGGCACCAATATGTTTTCCAAAAAATCCACAATAAACACGTAAGTCTTCATGCAACTAACCATTTTGGTTCCAAATGTCCCACTATTATTAGGAAGAGATTGAGCGCTGATTCCTTGGTTTTATTTAAAACCAGGTTAGAGAATATTGTTTAATCAAGTGAAACTATTTTGTCATTAAAAGACAGAAAGCATATGGAAGGTTCTGGATTAATCTTAAGAAAATACAAAAGAACTTTACTAATCCCCAGTAATGTCTGAGAAAAGTATTGCAGATCCCTGAATTTTATGGAGTAGAAAGCAAAGAGAGAAAGGAGGAAAAGGTTATGCTATTATAAAATATGCTACAGGACATTAAAGATTTGGCAATTTTATTTTGTGTTTTTCTTTTTGATATTTTCTAAAATACCCTTTTTTGTATGTATTTCAAAATCCCAAGGCAGCAGTACCACAGTGTTAATCAGTATTATACAAAACCCCCAAATTTTCCCCAAATTATTAATCAATCACTAAGTGTCAAAATGATGTGCCAGCACAGGTGCTTTATGCCACAGACATCAGCAACCATCAACAGTTATGTCCATGCTCTCAGCTTGTACAGATCCCTGCCCAATATATTTTTGGACCACAGTCTCAACTAATTCTTTACCCAAATCCAAACATAATATCAGAATATAAATCCTTTTCAATGATCTACTTTTTTGGTTGTCCTGCACGCCACGTGCATTTGGCCAAGATGTCTTTTAGCATTGGCAAAGGCAAACAAGACAATTTCACCTCCATGAAGACATTTCTCATAAGTTTACTGGTAGGACCAACAGTAAAACACCCGATAATAGGGTTTAGGATGAAGTGCATATGCATGAAACAACTTTTAGAGCAGCAAATAATGTGAAACATTATTAAAGCCTTAAGACATAAATTAAAGTCTTTGTTCTCAAGTTGGAAGAATATTTTATTCTAATGATTAGAAGAGAAAACCAAAAATCAGACCTCTTCAAAAAGAGAGCAATTACATCTCTCCATGAAGCCAGGCTTTCACCTGTATGTTGGATGCAGTAGTTAACTCCTGAAATGCATGAATTAAATGATTGCTTGTAAAAATACATGCAGATTCTCGGGTAAAATTTACATCAAGTTCCAAACTTAAATAGGTCTTAAAAGTAATCACAACAACTTATAATGAAGTCTCATTCCAGTCAATAGTTTTCTGTGTGATGAAGAGCTCTTCTCAGGCTGGATAATGGGTAATTAGTTGATGGCTACTCAACATAATGAATTTTTTTTTTTATTGGTAGCTCAGATGTGAGTGCCATAAATATACATTTTTGTTTCAATTTGTGTAAGCTACAGTGAATAAGTCCTTAATATTGTCCTTTCACACATCTGACTGATCTATTTTTTTTTGTTTTTTTCTCCCAATGATGCTCAGGAATCTCTCCCAGCTAACAAACCCATTCACCAAAGCAGCATTCCTACTCCATTAGAAATTCTGGTCTAATTTGAAACAAGGATAACACATGGACAAGAAAACAATAAATTTGGAAGATAACAGTAGTAGCAATTTAATAAACCTTGGCAAGGTACAAATCCCAGCACTAAATGTAGGTGGTTAATTTTTAAAGAATTAGTTGGAAAAGGTATAGATATTTATTGACTGTGTGTTTCTGGAATTTGAAGAGCCATGTTATCCATCCCTTCTAAGGATGTCACTAAAATAAAAAGCACTGAATAAAGGAGAACATGAGGAAGCCTCAAGTCAGCTGCCAGGGATGACATACACCCAAATAAAAAGTCTTTAAAGAGACTGGTAGTTTCCTACTTGTAGTAGTTCCCATTCTATTCTATGATTCCCAAGTTTCAGAAAACTTGAGAAACTCTAGAGTCTTGGAGTACTGTTAATATAATTCCATACATCTAATGGGTGAAAGATGACAGCCGAGGACCTACAAATAAGTTACTCTGACATCACTCCCAAATAAAATAGTGTTACAGTAAATCTGGGATTCTACCTACAAAATACAGCTAGCAATATAATTAATACCCTTCAGCATTTTAGAGAACATAGATCTTGTCAAACAAAGTTTGATAGAGTTATGGTTGATAGAGGCAACTTATGCTGAAACTGTATATTGGGATTTCTTGGAGGCATTTGATTTATTACCCCGTGACTTTGCGTTCCAGAGTTTACATCATAGAGGATTAACAGGAAACACATTAGAGAGATTAAAAATGGTATTTCTAAGAAAAATAATGAGAAAGACAAGGTACCAAGCAATCTGTCTCTACCTAGCTGATCATAACTGTAGATGAGAGATTGTAATTGGAAGGGAGAATAGAGAGAAAAGTTTATGGGCTTATATAAAGGAATAGCTTCCTATGAGCTCTCAAGGAAATACCATAGCAGAAAGGGTTGAGGCGACTGTTCAAAACAGGATCACCAGTAAAAAGAGCAGGGTGGTCTTGTGTCCTCACTCCACTGGTAGGACTGCCACTATTACAACATGGGCAGTCTTTGGAGAGCATGATGTGAGAAGAGCATGAAATGGGTAAAACTGAGTGCTAAGAAAGCCTCAATATTACTTGGGATCAGAAGGTAAACATTACAACGCAAGGTTGGAATAGCTAAAATTATTCAGGCTAAGTTCAAAGACCTCTAGGTCATATATACATACACACACACACACATATATATATATACACACTCACATACAATTAAGGAGAGGATGACGATGGATGGTTGTGGGATATGGAAGAATCCAGCAAAGGAGATGAGAGAATTGCCTGTCCTGGGAATCATTTCTTTAAAGGTATGCCTTGGATCTCTATGAGGAAAATGATGTTAGGCTGAATGGGAGTAAAGATGTAAAAGGTTCAGCTGAGAGGTTGCTGTCATCTCTCCTCGCCTGGAATACGTGAATTTAACTCCCTCTGCTCATTCCTTCATCCACTTCAGTGATGCATCCATGGGAATACTGGAATGTCTGCACTGCCTACAATAAGACTCTCTTCTGTAGCTCTGTTAAGGCAATTTTAATAAACCCCTCAAACTTTGGGTTGCTTTTTTTTTTTCTTTAGTGGACTGCCTAGGGCATCAAGGGATATTTATTTTTCCCTATGATTCATAATTCATCTTCTGTTTGTGCCTTCTACTCCACTACAAATTATCAAATATTGATCTCAGCTGCAGCTGGGACACTGGGGTTGGTGAGTGCGACAACCTCGTTCCGTGAGTCCTCTTGGATGTGTGCCTAGCACGATGCTCAAAGGAACAGCATGTAAATTCCACACCTTCCAGAACAATAATTTTTCCCCAGACACATGCAAGGACTAATCCTCTGCCTTCCTCCTGCTGCCTCCATCTGCAGCGCACGGTTCAGTCCACACACAAGGATGGTGCAGGAAGGGCTTTCCAAATCCAGGCACCCCAGCCTGTCATTCCTGTTCACTGCTTGTACTGCTACGTAAGGGTTTTCATCAGGACTGCAACATCTAGTTTAACTAAACTCACTGAACTCACTGTTTTGTTAGAAAACTGATTCACAAAGTTAAAGAATATCTGCATAAGGTAATAAACTAGATAATTCAACAGTGAATCTATCTTATTTTCAAAATTTATTCCATCTTATTTTCAGTTTATTTCTAAGGCTGACTCCTATGGAAACTCCCTAGGGGATTTATGGCTCCATTAGCCAAACCAGCTGCTGAACAGGATCTCTGCAACTTCTTTGGTTTTCACAAAGAATGCAGCAAGTAAATGAAGATGCACTTTTCTAAAACAAACAAACAAAAAAACTCTTCTATGAGTAATGTCACCCAAATCAGCAAAGTAAATATTATATCTGCTCACAGAAATCAGTTAGCTGCATCATGAGGCTAAAATGTCTATATTCACACCCATATTACTATATGATTTTAAAAGGTAGCACTCTTCCTCCCTTGACCTGTCTCTATATGAAAAATTTGGAATACAAAAATTCTACTTCTTCATTCTATGTTTGCACCAAAAATATCTAGGTAAATAGAAAATTTTCACATATAAAACACTTTCTAAAAGCTATTTGATAATCTCTTGCATTTCTGATAAATGGAGCAAAACCTTCTTTTATGTAAGCAAAAACACTCAACTGTGCACTACAAAAAGTGGTACTTTAAAATTCATACAAAACTACAAACAAGTAAATTATAAAACAGCAATATAAAAACAGACAGTAGTAAAGATAGTATTATATACGTCTGATTAAACTCTTGCAGC